TATTCTTGGAACAACAAGTACTTGGTACTTTCATAGCCCAACCGTATGGTATAACCGACACCTATGCTATGAAAATAACTTGATTTGTTGTTAACATAAGTTATAATTGTGAATACCTAATAATATTTATAAATATTAGTATTATTCGAATAAGATAACTAATGTGATCATGTTCACAATTTATAATTTGATTGGAACCTTCTTTGTGTGTGGTTTCCAATTGAGTAATAAAAAGAGTTTATATTATAGTTATTTGAAATATTATTAGTTGATCCTCTAATCTTGACATTTATTTTTATCATTGTTTAATCCTTACAATAATCTTACATCTTAAAGTCCTCTTTAACGTCTTCTTCTTCTTTTTCTTCTTCTTCTTCTTTTTCTTTTTATTATTATTATTATTATTATTATTATTATTATTATTATTATTATTATTATTATTATTATTATTATTATATAGTTAATCTTATTGTGGTTTGACCCGATCTTGTTGGGTTATTTTTTACTTCAACACTCCTACACTTGGGAAAAGATATCCATTTTTTAGTTGTATCAGTAGCCTTTGCAGTGCAATCCAATTATAATTTTTAGACATAAGAATCAATAAATACACTAAAAACAAAGCAAAACAAAACTATAATTATGATTTTGCAAGTAACAATGCAAATTTGTATAAATTATGGATGAAATAAAGACACGAAATAAAACAAAAGGGAAAATTAGTGAAAATAATTGCTTGACTCCTAAATAACCCAATTATCATAGAAACAAAAAGATTTGGATGAAAACAAATAGTAAAGATCATGTTTTGAAACTTGACATAAATGTCACATGTTATGCAATTTTTTTAGATACCATAATTGAAAACCAGACCAAACGATATCAGAATGACCTATAATTCAATATTTAGTATTCTAATAAAAAAACAATAAATATTAGTTTATAGGTCGCTCTTTTATGTTTAGGCACTCGAAACCCTTATATGATCAATTGCGGCAGAATTCAATCTCAAATTAAAACCTCAAATAAACAATATCAAAATAAGCTCAAATTTAATAAATAGTTTGATATCACCCCCAGTAGATAGAATATAAAGTTTCAATTGATTCTTAGGTAGTGTGCTTATAGTTCACTCAGAGTTGTTTTTTCATTGTAAAATTGAATCTCGAATTAAAACCTCGAGCAAAATTTATCAAAATAAGGCCAAATTTAATATATGATGCAATCTTACCCCTAATAGATAGAATATGAAGTTTCAATTGGTTCTGAGGTGGTTTGCTTATGATTCACTAAGAATTGTGTTTCTATGGCAAAATTGAATCAACCTTTAAATTTTATCTAGTCTTTTTTTCCTATACTATTGATATGATTAAAGACAGTAACAAGATGAAATATAACTCTCTCTCTTTTTTGCTTAGATTTCGCAGACACAAAGAACTAGAAGATGAATGACGTAAACATTAAAAAACTTAAAGCAACATTAAGAAAACGAGAATAACAGAAGGATATGACCTTATTTTAGAGCCTAGCTCTGATACTAACTGATGAGAACCTTATGATCACATGGTCACATAACCCACAATCAAGATTGAAATATGATCTTAGAAAGCTGAACTGGGTCTGATAGGAGTGTGACACAATAGAAACTTGCCTCAAGGCACCAATACTATTAGAATGAAGTCAAATGACACCACACAGTTAGTTAATATTTGAAAAGTCATATTCAATTCATTCAAGAACTAAAGAATACAAGAATCACTTACATGTTAAAACTAAAAAATTCAGAAGTTTTATTCATTAATAGTTGCCAAAATTTACATTACATGAATTTAAATAGTTCTTGAAAAATTAACCCTAATGAATCTACCCTAGTGGACTGATTTGGCTCAATTACAAAACTAACCCAAAAACCTTAAACTAAAAAGCCTATTACCTGATTCAAACAAACCTTGAATCCTAACTGAAAAAATGTATTAATTATGCCCAAACAAGCCTTGGTTTGTGGCCAACAAAATAAAATAAAGCCCATAATGTTAAATTTATACTCTGTTGTGAGAAAAAGAGAAGGAAAAAAAATATTATAGAACTGATTCAGGGTTTATTTATAACTTTTCATTAGAAACTAAAAGAAAAGGTAACCACCATGTTGTTTCCAAGTTGTAGCAAGATTCTTTTGTTTCTTTTGTTGTGTTTTCTCTTCACCTAACAAGGAAATAAACAAAATAATAAATCCTAATACTTAAAGAAAATGATCAATGTTCTCATACATAATAGGAAGTTCAAAACTAATTAGGAATCCATAAAACACATAGAAACATCATAAACATAAGGCTGGTCGGAAAATTAGAAAATTGTCAGACTTGTTGTCGAAACCTCATGGCCCAAAAAAGGTTGGATTGGACCCCTCTTGCACATGGTTAAGATCTATGAAGGCCTCCTCTTGATACTCCAATAAACTTTCAAATCTGACTTGGTTGAAATCTTCAAAACCAATACATTCAATGCCTCTTCCAATGCCTTAGTCTTAGACCGAGTCCTTGGCCCATTAGAAACATGTAGTAGGGTCCTTGCTAGTGTTTGTGAGTTGATCCAATCTTATGTATCTGGATAATAACTAAACGTTATCTTAGAGCTCCTATCATGTCTTTTGGTCATGATATATTGACCTCATTTTGCTTATTTTAGTTTCTTTTGGTTATTAATAAATAATAAGGGTTTCTTTAGATTGCAAACACATGAGAGTTTGTTTTTGCCAAACTTGTTTTTGAAAGTATTAGTTTTTTTTTAAAAAAAAAATACTAATTGGTTCACATGCTATGTTATTGATTCATTTTATTTATCTAATAAAATATTTAAGTCACAAGCATGTTTTTAAAAAAAAATAAAGAGAAATTTAATAACTTGGGTTATAATCCCGACCAACTAAATAAACTAGTTTTATTTAAATAAGTTATTTAAATAAAGTGATCACAATAACATGGGGAAAAAAATTTCCAAGAGTAAAAAATAAGTTATTTACTTGATTGTATTTAATAAATTTATTTATTAAAATCAATTTGCAAAAGAAATCAACACACATATAAAATTTACTAAATAAAATAAAAGGAGAGAAATATTATGTAAGGCTATATATATTAAAAATAAAATAAATATTTAATTTATATAAAATATATAAAAAAATTACAAATGAATCATATTAACCTTAAAAAATTAAACACACACAATATAATTACAAAATAATTGCTATTTAAAAAGGTTAAAAAACTGAAAACAAAATCACAGAGACGAAGTATTGATTAAAATATAAATTTAAAAATTATTTTTAAAAAGACATAGAAAAAGGTATTACTAAAAAAATAAAAATTAATAAAAACAAGTAAAATAATGAGACCAAACATTGTGAGCTTGGTAAATAGGCCAAGCGTTTAGCCCGCTAAGAAAGGTCCTGCTCGCAGACCTACAAGTTCAAATCGATGCACACATGCCTTTAATTTTTTAATTTAATGGGTGGACAATATATTCTTTGATAAAAAAAAAAACAAGATGACGAGTCGTTTATAATTTACCAGATTACGATCACTATAGAGATTGAAAAGACATGATTCTTGTTTTTTAACCCAAAAACTTATTTTCAACTCATTTATTTTACCTAAAATACCTAGAAAACATCGTTCCAACCTTGTTAAACTAATCCATGTCCTCCACAAACACAAAAAAATCTTCCCAAAACCCATAATCATCTCAAAACTAAAAAATCTTTTTGAGCTCAAATATGTTCTTTTTAGGCAATTTCAGGTAAAAAAAATATATAATCTTAACTCTCCTCATTATATAAAATTATTTTTTACAAAAATCAATTGTTTTAGCAGCAGAAATCATTTCCAACGAAAAATTTTTCTCTATATATTAGAATCCAACAACCCCCTCTCTCTCCTCCACCAAAATTGAACTTAAAAGAAAATAAAGTTTGGTATCAAAATTATATTTTTAAAAATGGGAGGGATCAATTACCTAATATCTTTAAAAAAGGGGGACTAAAATGAACCTTTAGAATAAATTTTAAAGTCACCACCTATTTTATTTGCTCTTTTCACTTAAGTACTCTATATTTTAATTTAGCCCTCCCTCCCAAAAAATACAATTAGGTGCTAACTTAAGTGCAAAAGGAATCAATTATGCCAAAAAAAAAAAAGTTTGATGATCAAATTAAAATTTTAAAAAAATCACTATTAAAATTCATAGTGATATGTGAGATGTGAGATGATAAATTGTAAAATAGCTATAGTAAAACCTCTATCTCTTTTATTTTATATTGTAATTAAATTGAAGTTTTTTAAATATTTTTTTATGATTTTAAAAACTACTTTTTAATATTTTTGTATGATTTTAGAGAACTTCTATTTTTTCCTCAACTATAGAAGAAAAGATTGTTTAATTAACAAAATAGCCTTTTTTTTAAATTAAGTCCAACATATAATTACATTTCAAACCTAGATTTTATTGAAGATAAAATAATTTGATTTTCATTTACATAGATCTAATTTTCATTTAGTTTACGTACAGAAATCTTTCAATTTAACATCAAGTAATATCAAGAATAAAAAAACATTTTTTAATACTTTTTCAATATTTTTACCAAAAACACCATACATCACAGAACTCAACCCACATACAAAGTGGGGGACCCACCTCTACAAACAGCTAATTGAAGTCCTTTTCTTCATTTCCTTTAATTTTGGGTTTATCTTCGAGAAGATACAGAACTTTTCTGTTGAAGTTACTGGTTACATAGCATGGCTACTCACAATTGTCCACGTGTGTATAGGCACATCCCACTCATCCAATCCAACACAAGGTGATCAAAGACGTCTTGTATTTGTCTCTTGCCATTTTACACAAGGTAATGAATTTCCCTTTTGCATGTTGAGGAAAATTGGGAATGGTTCGAGAACAAAGAAAAGATAGTTTTCTTTAATTATCTAACACTGCAATACTCTGGCTCCTCCAAAGTTTCCAAAACGACTCATGATTTGCTCTAATAACAAAATACTCGATACGTCAACATTTAACATGGCATGATTATCAAATCATACAAGCCAAGCTTATTAAACAACAGAAGAAAGCAAATATTTGAAATCTAGGCAAAAATTCTATTATTGTTTTAGAACCACTCTTCCAAAGAAAAGCATTGTGCTATGGGCGACAAAGCCTGCATACTTTTTACACATAAACTAGTCGTGCATATAAGTAATCATTATTTGCTGGGAGCTTGGTTCATTCTACACTGTTTGTTCATGCTTATTGTTGAAGCTTATAGTTCCAATGCGGAGTATGGAATGCTCAAGGCCATTCTTTGGCATAGCCAAGGCCTTTCTGGATCCGGGTCAATGAAACAATGCATCAGAAATTGATCTGCCTCTTCATCTATCAGTTCTCTTGACCATGTCACTCGTTTTGATGGGCAACTACCTGGCCCAAAGCACCTGCAATTTCAACTAAAGCAGTCACGCAATGCAAAAACATGTCTACCTATTAACTAGCATCATACACTGGAAGAAGTAAACAGAAAGCAGGTCATTAAAGGGTTTTTTATTTTTTATTTTTTATTTTTTGGGACAGATATCTAGCATGAGAATAAAATTAATTATTACATGATGGCAATTCTTCCTTCAAGAATAGTAAAAGTTCATCAAATATCAGGCAAAGCCAAAGGTTATTTGTCAGTCTTAGGCTTTCTTGAGAACATCTGCATATGGTTCATTAGATGAAAATTTTATTTAACGTTATTTGTCAAATCTCAAATTAATAGCAATCTGCCAAAAATCAAACGGTGCATGATGATGATTTAAACCAAAATACCTGTACTCATAAAAGCAAGCACTTCTCTCATTTTCTGCTTTACCCCAGTTGTTCCATCCTACATGTCTAATACAATGATCCATGTATGTGTATGCAAAGACCACTCTTCCAAAGGGTCCCCATGGGCGTCCAAGGTACATATATGAAGTCCCTCCATTACCAGTAATCACGCATCTGCATGAAAGTGATAATTAATTACAGCAGCACAAACCATCACAAGACAGAATACCAAAAGAACCAAGATATGTTCTCCTAGCCAGACATAACCCTACAAGAATAATGTATTAAAGGTGATGGTATTGGTATAAGCAAATTGTCCCAGCACAGTTTCAGTAGGCGAAAGTTACAGGGACTGCTATCTCATATAAGATGACAATTACAGAGTAATAAAACCAAGTTTCTGAGACACAAGGTCATATGACATGGGCTGAAAATCAAATATTCTGAGTGAATGAAGAAAGTGATGAAAAATGAGAGGACTCTGATTTTGCATCTGATACGTGTGTGTGTGTGTGTGTGTGTGTGTGTGTGTGTGTAACCATTTTCCATCTTTAATCAGAAATAACAGATTAAATAACTGTACAATTCTACTTCAGCAATGAATCACATAGTTTATGACTTCAAAGCCCAGTATTTGGAATGAACACAGGATATCAAAAACAAAGGAAAGTCTCCTCAATAAACATTGACAATGTCATTAACCTGGACTTATAGAAACACCAGATATAAGTAGTGAATGTTACATAACTATAGATTTAATTGGAGAAACATACCAAAAACATGAATGCTAACTGCATAATACAACAAAACCAGGTAACTTCTACCTTACATGCTGCAATACTACTTAGGAATAAACTACATGGTCAACTTAATATAAAATGAAGAACAAACATGAAATGTTTGGAAGGAAAAAAAAAAGAGCGATGTAATGGGAGAAAAATGAGCACAGATTCCTTTTTCCACTACATTACATTGCATTGCATTACATCCATCCAGAGTGAAAAAGGTATTGACATGGTTGTTGGAAGTAGTACTAGAAGAATGACAACTTTCTCTTTGGAAGACAACCTACATTGGAAATCTGACAATTAATAACTATAGGTACCTTGTTGTTCTAAAAGATGTAAAAATGAGGAGGTTTTAAAGTCAGGACACTTCAAAATTGTCCTCCAAAGGATATTTAAAAATGTCCTCAAGAGGCTCCTTGTACAATTCTGTAAACATACAGAAATCAACAATTTAATTTCCAACTAATCTATTTGGTGTCCACTCTATAAGTCTAGGATCATGATCCATCTCTGGATAAGACGCAAATTTCCTATGTGTATCAACATCATGCTATAGAAATCTCAATAACTATAGGGATAAGGACTGCAGCTCGATGCCAATAATGCACCAAAACTATTCTCTTTGGGTTAGGGAGCAGATATGAAAACTGTAAGGACCTGTACAGAGTTTTTGTAATTGATAGAGTTTAAAATGCCAGCAAATTTTCATCACATAGAAATTCATGTTGATTCATATTGAAAAAGCTATCAGACAGCTTATAAATATTATTTAGTCAGTACAATGCCATCCAACTTCTCCAGAAAAAAGATGCTAACATTGCAAAAACCTGGACTGAGAACTTAATGGGAGGCAGGAACAATTGAAAATAAAGGTGAAAGCCAATAAAAACACACCTCAAAAAGACATAACCAGTTGACTCCTGAGAAGATTTTCTGCTTTGAGCAGTTATAAAACCTGCTGACTTGCAGTGAATATGACAATGTTCCAAGAGAGCAGTGCTGTTCCCAAAGATAAAGTCCACACTTCCTTCAATGTAGCAATCTTTCAAATACTGCTTCCCATAATGCAAATAGAGAGTATCCTACAAAATGAAAATACATGAACAGGTGCTTTTGGGTTTGTGTACATCCAATACCTCCTCCTATAGTTCAGAAACCCAATAATACACTTGCAGGATACCAAAGCATACAAACTGGCTCAATTATTGACTCACAAATTGTTAGCCTTAGCCATCAGAATCCTAGAGAATCAATAGAACAGTGAGTTCATCCATTTTATTATGTACTTCCCACTTATCAGAACACGCCCATTCTTAGATGTTTCAAACCAATTAATGATGTTTTCCAATTTGAGCATAGCTCGAATAACATGCCCACAATTTATCAATGACTAGTAAATATGTGCACAAGCAATTTTGATTAACGATGTAGTATTATAATTGGCATTTCCCTCCCATTAAGTTTTCATATGAAGTGCAGTTTACCAATAGAGATAAGTATCCATTGTCACTGTATTTACCATCCTATAAAATTAACATATTTGGAGGGTAAATGAAATTCTTAATAATCTATGATATAAATAAACATGAATGATGAAGTAAATGAACCATGAAACACACCAAATGTGACAGTTAATATACCTGCCAGCCAAGGAACCGGCAATTATAGAATGCGCACCGATCAGCAGTCACCCTAATTGCCACAGCTTGGCCTGAACCCTGGATACAAGTATATAAAAAACACAGATCAATAGCTTCAAATCATTTATTAAACAATTCAAAATGTTTCACTTTAAACAACATAGAAAACACCTCAAATCATACTTTTTGACACAACCAGTGGCTAAAAGAAAAGAATTCTTAAGTACCATATTCACACCCAATGCTCATACAATTTAAACTTCAATTTCAAAATATGCACAGAATAAAAAAAAATCATTTTTTCAACAAAACAAATGAATAATGAAAAAAAATCAAAATTACACATCACACCAATGAATTTGTCACAACCTAACTCAGCTAAGGATGGAGAAGGGTTTGAGGAGATGACTGTTGGAAAATTTAAAAGCAATGGGAACATTGTGTGAAACGATGCATCTCATTTAATCACCTGTGCACACCATTTCAATCACTTCTCACGCTGCATTTTGATTAAGCTGTTTTGCTATCTTTCAGTTTATGTAGCCAAGAGTGGCCAATAAGGAAAGCAGAGCAATTCCCTCTAGAAGAAATGGATGTTGTATTTAGTTTGGTATTGTAACAGATTGAGTAATAATCATGATGAATAAATTACAATGAGGAGGTTGTTATGAGAGTTGCTCATCACGCCTGCTGTTCTTTAAGAAATACATCCATTAGCTAACTTTCTATTCCTACATTCCAGTATTCCTGTTATTCAACTCTGGCTTCTTTTTGTCTGGGAACTTTACAAAATTGAATTCGTAACATAATTTACCGTACTTCCTAGTATAAAAACAGAAATTCCCAACACCTCAAACACAGTAAGAACCCAAAAATCTTCTTCTATCACAAGAAGCCACCACAAAATTGACAACAAAAAAGGAAGCGACCTTGTTAAGCACAAAGATTAGTCCACATTACCTCAGGAGAAGAGTTTTCAAAAGTGACATTCTCAGCAATAAAATCCTCTCCTTCCACTATCACAGTCCCACACCCAAACGTCCCAGTTCCAATGACCCTCGAAGCCTGCAGCCCAAAAACCCAACATCAAGTACCTCCAAACACACGTTTCAAAAACCCAGATGAGCAAGCTAGAAATCACAGAAAATAGGCGCACCTGGTGATGATCAATGTTGGCAGAAGTGTTGTTCCAAGTCAAGATAGTGTCTTCAGGTCTTAAACCCGCAAGAGTTATGAGATTCTTTGTCTTCGGCACGTACACGGGCTGCCTGTAAACCCCAGGTGGCACACGAATCACAGTTCTACACGTGTTGCAGAGTGGCACCGCATCTACGGCTTCCTGCACCGTCGTAAAGTCTCCACTCCCGTCTTGTGCCACCGTCACCACTCGACTAGCCATTGATTAATCCTATAGAAGTCTCTTTCTCTATGTGAAATGGCGATGAGATCGATTTGAGGAAAGGAAAAGAATTAACAGAATATTGGGATTTGTTCGTTTGTTTTAGTACTTTTTTAGTTTTAGTTTTTAATGTTAGATCCTGGCCTCCACAAAGCAGTGGGTCGGATTAAAAAAAAAAACTGTAGATAAAATAAAATAAAGGCATTACTAACATATTTATTGGGAGAAAAATAATCACTCATTCACCGCGTAAACATAGAACCGAATAAAGTACGATCTTGAGAAGTAAAACACCTCCGTATATAAATATTAAAAATATTGTTGAGGTTCAGATGAAGTTTTTAAATTTTAGGGTTAAAATTATAAAAAAGATGAAATCAATAATGAATTTTGATAAATATTAGAAAAATTTAAAATAAATATAATTTGAGAATAAAAAAATTAATTTTAAGCAGTGATAAAAAGATAAAAAATAAAAGTTAAAAAGATAATTACATCAAAAATATTGATGCAAACCCCAGTTAAAAATAGGTAGTATTGTTGTAAAATGATAATAAATTTATAAATAAAATAAATAATGAAAAATAAAACTAAAATTATCATATTTATACCATCAATTGAGCCTAAAATAAGATTTAAATGGAGTAGGATTTAAAAAGAAGTTAAGAGGCAAATTTGTTATATTGGACCTTTGGCTACTATTTGGTTTATATCTTGAGATTCATAGGAAGTTTCATTTAAGTTATAGTTGGTTTGGAAAGTACACATTTGCACCTTTTAAACCATAAATAGAAGGCTTGTTTATCTATTTGGATGAGAGAAAATGACACATTTGAAGTTGAGTCTAGAATCATATTGGGATTGTAATTCCAATACCATCTAGTTTTATATTTATCAAGTATAATTTTTAATTCAACCATTTGATCAGGCTAAAATTTTATGAAGACTCTCATAACATGTTATTTTATCTTGAGTTAAAGGTATAGGGTGATCAAGATCCGAGAAGGTCTCGTGAAAATACAAAAAGAACTAAACCTGTTAATAATAATAATAATAAGGAGCAAAATCTTTAAAGAAGAGAAAATTCTCCTTTAAAATAGTTGCAGTACATTCAGCAACCTTGTTTTTGACGAAAGGCATAGGTTTCCAACTTCTTTCACCAAAAATAAAATATAAGAGAAAACCATGAAAGTGTAAGAAATCAAAGTGAGCTTAACGAGTGCAAGGAGAAAAACACCATTCAAATGACTTGAGAGAGGTCAATAAGGAGTTTTAGATAGATGGGTGACACGACTAAAAGATTGATGTCTTCTGCCAAGTGCAGGAGTGTCAAAGTAATAAATAACTCGGTAATACCAGGATCGAACCACAAGGAGGTTAATTGTACAAAATATAAATAACAATAATACAACAACAACAACAATAACAATAACAACAACAACAACAACAACAACAACAACAACAACAATAATAATACAACAACAACAACAATAACAATAACAACAACAACAACAACAACAACAACAACAACAACAACAATAATAATAGAACTAATAATAGTACTAATAGTAATAATAATAATAAAGAAGAAGAAGGAGAAGATGATGATGAGAACTCTGAGATGAAATATTAACGTAAGGATTAAACAATGATAATAACAAATATCAAGATTAGAGGATTCACTAAAGTATAATATAAACTCTTATTATTCAATTGGAAACCACACACAAAGGAGGTTCCAATTAGATTATAGATTATTAACATGATTACATTAGTCATCTTATTTGATTAATGCTAATACTTGTAAATCTTGTCAAGCATTCACATGATTATAACTTATGTTAACAACAAATCAAGTTCCTTTCATAGCTCAGGTATCGGTTATACCATACAATATGGGCTATGAAAGTGCCAAACATTTATTGTACCAAGTGTTATACAACATAAATCAAGATTAATCATTTAACAAGCAAAGTATTAAAGAGTGAACAAGATAATAAATACAAAACATGTTAGTATCAAACATTAAAGTCCATATTAAGTTTACACTATGCTTATTCTTACATCATTAGTGTAACCTTTGCACCTTGACATAATAAACTTAGCTAGACATAATGAAAGAAAGAAAAATAAATAAACAAAATAAAAGCATAAATTAGATAAAAGTTAACAAAGTAAATGAAAGGAAATAAAAGGCATAAACTTGATATTAATAAAAGCAAAGCATAAACATTACAAAAACTACAAAGAGAGAAAGTAAGAGCATGATCTTGATCTGGAAACCAAGATGCCTAAATGCATGGCAAATGCCTCCTTTTATAGGCCAAAATTGGGAACTATTGATTTGATGACTAATTGATGAGTGGGTGACCAACTCTTGACTTGGTGACAATCCTTCTCTTCTCTTGTCTGCCCAAAACGTCATTGATAACGTTAAAATTAGAGCCACTTAAAATATGAAAGTTGTAGAAAATTGTCTCAGCTTTCTTATGTAAAAAATTCAGTCATTCGAACTTCTAGAACTCTGGATATGGGCCAAACATTGAACAATGCTCAGGCTTGAAGACAGTTTTGGACTTCTTTGTTGTTGCTATAATTTGGACTTGAAAATGGCCTTTTTAGATTTTGGGCTCATATGAAAGTTGTAGGCCTATGTCTTACCTTTTCATCCATATAAAGTAGACCTAAATCTAAGATCTATAGCTCTATATATAACCTAATTACCAAATAAGGTTCCGGTTTGAACTACACTGGCATCTCTTTTCTAAGTTTGGCCATCTCTTTGTCCTATCAATTTCAATTCTTAAATTCATCAATCAATCCTTTCATTTATCTAATAGGCCTGCATTTAAAATAAATATTTACCATAAATTAAAGGTATCTTATATTATTAGATATATTATTATAAAACATGTTTTAGTTAAGGAGTTATTGATACTTCAAGTGCAAAATGATGACATAAAACCTTGATAAAAAGTGCACTTTTAAGTACTAATCACACCTCCCAACCAGCTTATTACTAGTCTCTAGTAATCAAAGCATTAAAATAGAAAAACAATTTACAAATTCCATAAAGCAAGGTATTCATCATTCAACTTCCATTAATCTATCCAAATAAACAAACTCTCATTAAATTTATATATCTGCTCAATACCTCTTAACAAGATATTAATAAACTTTTCTTTTGTGCTCAATATATCAACACATAATTATGGGGCTTTTCTTGGAAGAAAACAAAATTTTTGTTCTAACGTTTAAGGTTAACTTCCTTGGGTTGGGATTATTATTATTTTTTTCTTTTTTTTTAAATATATATACATATAATTTAAAGCACCATGCATCTTTAACCCATGTAACGAGCTTTTAGCTAATGACTCCCAGACTAGTTGGTCTTAGGGCATTAGGTGTTGAGACACCCCTACAAGCTTAGTAACTCGGGTCGCAGATACTAATACGTAGCTAGTGTAATGTTTGATTCCTTTAAGCTTTTCTCCTCAATCCATGTAACAAGCATTGGACCAATAGCTCCCAAGTCAGTTGACTTTAGGGTATTAGGTGTTACAACTCCCCTTTGGGCTTAATTGCTTAGGTTAGGGAGGCTACGAAACCAAACTTATCTACATTTTTATTATCATCATTTCATATATATATTTTTTACTCTTTTTTAAAAAATTATATATTATCCCTTTCACTTGATTGTTACCTTTAATAAAAGAACATAAATAATATAATAATCCAATGTGCAACCCACAATCATATGTTAAAGTGTGTGTGCATAAATTAAGGTTTAAGAATACATGTTAAATGAGTATATGAGCAGAATTAAGTGATAGTAATGCGAGAGTTTGTAAACCTGAATATTTCAAGAAGTATTATGATATACCTTATTAAGAATGGTTACTAAGATGCGTCTCAAGAGTCATAAAAAGATCTCTTTTACTCTACCATCATAGTAACAACAATTTGGCACATGCTTTATGAAATAGAAAACACAGTTAGTTAATTTTATTTTATTTTTAGCTACTACCCTCTCCCCCCAACCAAAACGAGACATTGTTCTCAATGTTCTCGGTAGAAAGATAGAGTATAGAAGATATCACTTGAAATAACAAACACTGACAAACCTGAAACACACTGAAACAAAAATAAGAAATAACAAAATACAATAATAAAACAAAAAAAACAAAAAAATTACAAATGAAGACTCAAATCTAATCTAAGCTTTTTACGGCTTTCCTTAAATGACCAATTTATGCGACTCATAGAGGGATCAATTACAGGAATGAAAGATTGTAATTGGCTAATCAATTGTTCAGTAGTAGCAACAGAGATTATGATTTATCGTGCAGAAGATGTTAGAAATTCTTGTTCCACAGCATGATCAAGAAAATACAATAATTTATCATAATAACCATTAACATTTAACAGACCTATGAGTTTATGGTGAATGTGTAATTGGGTCCAAGAAGAAATATGAAAGATCTCTTTCAATGTGCCTAGACCACCTCCTAAGGCAATGAAGGCATCAACATGGTTAAACATTGCATTCATTTGAGCAGACATTGTGGAGACCTGTAGTTTCTCTCCAATTATTTTTTTAATGATGTCCCCTTATGCTAAAGCTTCGGGGACGACCTCCAAAACTTGACTACCTCCTAAAAATGCAGTTATTGACACACCTCCCATTAACCCAAGACTACCTCCCTCATACACTAAATAAATCTTTCTCTCAGTTAGCACCTGACTAAGATATTTGCTGATTCTAAAAACTCCTTTTCTTTCCCAGACTAGATCCATCGAAAACACAAATACTTTTTATTTGATGACTTGAAAAACTTGTTATTGCTACACACTTTTATATTTGTTGAATGTATGGGTTGAGTAGAAATGAAAGGAAGGAAGAGAGGATTTTATAGATGAGAAATTGAAAAGGCAATCATACCACCTATATGTAGGCCAGCTAGAGTCTCACTCACTCACTCTCTCTCTCTCTCTTTATTTATTTATTTATTTATTGAACAAGCATGTGTATGTATAGGTAGTTGTGATTGTGGCTCACATCTTCTCTTGGTTTTACGTCCAAGAACGGTTTAAACGCCCTTTATGGGTCGGGGATAGGCTTCCCATCTAGTTT